CTTTCACTTACGCAATGAATGTTCTTGTATATAGAAAGCATATAGATAATAAAGAAGTGTGCATAAATACTCAGATACGAGTTTGCATAAATATTACTAGTTTTGGTAGACAACATTACAGGCATCGTGTCTTTCTATGAGAGAAACGAAAAGATAACAACTGATTATACGGTGGCGGTACAAAAGTTTATTAAAATCATCATTATCATCATTGACATTTCAGTTATTTTTATTTCCATTTTATAAGTATCATCACCTTCATGTTCATATTCATCTTGTCCTCGTCGTTTCAATGTGGTTAATATCATTTTGTCACGGTCAGCTGTGAATTATTCGTCACATACCAGGCAACTTTGTCTTTGTATTTTGGCATTATTTTATAATCTTATATATAATTTTATAATAATAAACTTATAACAACAAGTATGATTGATGATAAGTTGTTGTGTACTATTTCGCCTGTTAACGTGATAATATGGTTTCCAGTTATTTGTTCTTCCCTCTTATCAAGTCTAATCATTCACTAAACATACAGACCCACGCCCCTTTTCTGTAATAGACAGACAAATAGGCAGGCATACAAATGAATACGCCAAAGATATATATGTGCATGTGTTTCGGAAAGGTACATGTACAGAGACAGAATTCTTTATTACCATTTATTAATGGTTTTCGTTGAGGACGTCACAATTTGCGTTTACCGAGCTTTCCCCCCTCCTCTAAAAATTAGCTTTATCATCATCATCATCACCTGTTACCGTCGATTTTGCAAGTTCCCAGATCATTAGTTGCTTTGCCCAACAACACCAAATTCCACCTTCTGCCAGACCTTTGCCTACGAAAAGTAATGGCTTGCGATCCTGCTTACGTTCGTCCTTCTACTCCTTAGTATAAAATTTCGGTTTCTTTTCGTTGTGTGCCTTTATCTGGATATACCATGGATATGTGGATGATGATGACAACAACGTACAACAGGATGGCGGAACAAAATAAAGGTATCCCGCATAGCTTGTCTTTCAGGTTCCCCCACCGCCCAAGCCCATTATTACTTATTGCTGCTTTTTACTGGACTGGAACAACGGACCTGCGATGGGTATAAAACTAGCCCTTTTTCCGTATCGTTTCGATCCCACCCGGTAATAAAAAGTGCCTGAAGCTGCATGATGCCTTCAATATTCCAGATATGTTAAGCAGGGCCAAGTAAGCCATTATCGGCGCCACTTACCACACAGCAATACATTCTCAGTCTCTCAGCCGTTATGGGAATTCAATTCATCGTGTGCAGAAAAGAAATTTGAACAGCCATAAGATAAAACAGAGCACCATTCCATTGTTATAGTGATGGAAGATAAATGGCAGACTGCATAGGCCGCTACGAACAACGGCCAGTTTTACGGATGTTCATTATTTATTAATAATGTGAGCCAATTGTTACAGTTGGTCTCAAATGGCGAAAACAAAAAGCGAAGTTATAGCTCTAAGATATGGTTTTAGTACAACCGGGATTGAGAGTTGAAGCTAGTAATGTATGGTGGCAATAAGGTTTAATAGTGTTATGATTACGCGAAGGGTTTTTGCCCGAATGTTCCAACATTTATCGTTGATAGGATTGCATCTTCTCCTTAACCGAAGTCCGCGCACGAAAATTGTTTTCGAGACCTTCTAGACGTGTAGGCATATACGTTTACCCGCTCTGCACAATGGAATCCAATTTAGAGCATCTTCTACATAGATTGTATCTTAAAGATCCAGCACCCGCAGACACCTACCATCTTATTGTTTTCCACCAGAGAGCAGCACCTCTGGCCACGGTCGTTGTATTTTTTGTGTAGACTAACATCAGCGTCTCTGGTGAACCGAACTACGCACTCCATCGGAGTCGTTTGCTACGTGTTCATAATTCTTCATTTTCGTTTTGTTGTCTAGTTTTCCTTCATCTCTATTTCGCAATAACAGCTAGCAACGTTGAAAGCAAACAGACGTCCCCATTTTGAGCATCATCATCACAGGACCTGATTCGTCATCATCGTTATCCATGGTAATGCCCTTGCTAAGGCAGTTATCTTTTAGTCAGCAACCGCATGAGCGGTCGGAACTTCCTCGAAAACAATAGCCACACTTACGGGTCTCTTGTTGAGACGTGCACAAAACCATGATCATCATCGTTAATCTTACTTAACTAGATATGCCCGTTTAAACAAGTGACCGACCTTCTTTATGTCGTCCACTCCGATGTCTTTTCTAAATATGATTGTTATTACGTCCAGAAAGTGCGTACAAGTCGCTTATGCGACACACGTGTATATATATTATATATATGTATATATGTGCTTCTATAACACAGAAAGAAAGGAATAATTATATCACTGCAGTTACTATGGATTCTATAAGAATCGTTGTTCAACATATGGATGTGCTATTATTAACCTCTTGAATCCTATTAAGGAAATCAGCATGAAGTCGATCTAAAATATCGGCGCATAGTTATCATAAGTTGTAACGAGGAAAATATGCAGCAGTTGACTTACACGATATATATAACCAGAATAGAAATACATGACACTAAATAACGTCGGCTTGTGGCTGATGCAAACAAAAAGTACGCTATGAGCGTGAATAAAAGTAGAAAAAAGGGCTAAAAGAAATGTAACTAGTGCACATATCTTCTATATGTATCCGCCGCTAATAGAGTACAATTGCGTATTTCAATTAAATGAAGGCAAGACGTCGAACAAGAGAGAAAGTATTAACAATGAAGCAACCACTTTCGTAGTCGCTTCGCAATGAGATCGGGCCTTGTGGCACTTTTGGTTTTTCTATTTATATATCTCCATTCGGCCCGTCCGCAGCTATCTCAGAATTACTACCTTTATTTTCCCTAAGGACATGTGGAAACCAACCAAATCAATGAATGAAACTACTGTTGACGCCACTCTTGGCAACAACACCGATCCGCCAGCTTGTTTGCTCATGTTTCACGTAGTCATTAATTTCAATTGACAGTGGTTGTGAATTATTCTGAAAAAGACTATAGCAGTGCATGATGTGCGCCGACAGCATAGCATCACATCTGTATGTTGGATGCTGTCGCTCAGGCTTGTTCAGTAGATCATGGTCCCTTGGGCCTAGTTTGATGCAATCCCAACACCTGAGCTTTGTTAACGTTACCGCCAAAAACTGGCAGGCGGTAGGCACAATACAGCGCAGTAACGCAGCCGTATGCTTACAAGGGAAGGCAACAAGCTTGTCTAAAGAAGTGGACCGGTTATGATGCGGCAGGAAACGACGACCTTTTCATGGTGGCCGCGCAAGGCGTAGCTCTGCTTTGTCCCTTTTTCGGGCGAAGAAAGCGCTAAGGATAAGAAAACCCGGCCATGGTGGTCCGCGACATGCTTCAAAATAAAACGAATAAATAATCTGATCACGTTGTTACCGGCCTGTGTTGTTTTCGGCCATCTCCTCTTTAACCTTGCTCTTAGTCTAGGCGGTCCTGCAGGACCGCAATAGGTCAGGGTAGCCACAACTACAGTTGCTGGTTAGAGACCCTCGGCTGTCGCAGAGACCCTCCTATACTAGTCTACTCCACACCTTTATGCTGAAGCAGCAGTTGTTCCGCTGATGCTCTAGCACGACTGCTACGCGGACAAACCGACGACAAAAACCGAGTCGAATAGAGCCCAGCTGTATATGCCTACTACGGTTACCGTTACTGCCCGTAACACGGTTAGACTTTTCAGATTGTGCGTATTTTGCATGGTGTGATCGAACGAATACAGAAGGTGAAATACCCGTGAGAGAGGCAATCCAAGTAAAATCTCCAACGTTGATGCAGACTCGCAGAGAAAGATTGAGCTCACAGCATTTCAACATGGCAAATTACTTAAGCGCGTCCCAAACAGTATTTCATACCATGGGTTTTAACGACTTTATTCTAACGGCAGAGGTGGTCATTGTGTCTGGGCTGGAACTCCTGAAATGGCGTTTATAGAAACTCAACTTCGTTAAGCCAGTGTTAGCTTAAGATTTCGATACTGGCAAAATCAACAAAAATAAGGAAGGAGTAACATACTTCGCTTTTTCGAAATCGACTTACAGATTTGTTACGGATAGGAATTTACAAGACTGATATAATTATTTATATGGTTTGTCTAAATCCGAGACGATTGAAACAAAAAATCCAAAATGGTTTTCGCCACAATCTTACATAACTGTTGGGGCGCTTATATTGCTTTTGTACAAAATCCATGAATAAGAGGGCGTAACTGGAAAAAAGATAACAAGACAAGGACTTTGACGTGATTCATAAAACAAATATGAGGATAATATGATTCATGTTAGGCTATAGCTCAGTAGACACCATTTCGTACGGAACGGCCCACGTCCCTCGAAGAAAAGGATCTAGTTGTCCGCCGCATCGCTTTTAGCGTCAGTCACCTCCAAATGCTTGTTGTGCTCAAAGTGATTTCTCCCTAAATGGCTTATCGCGGGAGGAACAAAATCAAACAGCAAGCCTGCATCGTAGCGTAATTTTCATATTTCGAAATGTCTACTCATCCTGAGCCCTGCTGTATTTGCAAAAACATAGGCCAGCCCACGTAGTACCGTCTGTCAAACCACCACCCCGATTTTATCTCATTGTTTTGCGACAGTTTGCTAGCCAATGTAAAAGGAGCGTCCATTGTGCATATGACTATGCAATATAACCCAGTAGCGATAACAGCCACAAAAACAACAAGCATAGCCTGGACCCTCTGCATCATTCTTGCCGAGTATAATAATAATAATGACAATAATTAATGCTTATCTTATGAATAATTTTATCTTCATCATTGAGGAGGTGTTCTCTCGTGCTGTTTATAATTCCAGAGGAACAGCGAACAGAATGCGCATCAGTGCTAAACTGTTCTGTAATTCGATTATAACAGTTAGAACAGATAGTAATTCTTTTTTTAATTATAGTAATTAGAAACATCGAGAAATTTTACATAGATAAAATAAGTGATATAATAAAAATAGTAAGAATAACTAAATTGATAAAGTGATGAGAAATAATGCATAGGATATAATAGTTAATAAGTTGGTTACTATACTAAAAAATACTCCGTACTATACTAAAAAGTACCTCCATAGAAGTACGGCAGTTTCTGCTCGATGGGAGTCCTATAACAACTGCTACTATTGTATAATATTTTTACTATTTTAATAGTAATATAATCGCCAATACCATATCTATAATAGTCGCTCATCTATCTGTGGGTATTTTTGTCGGAATAGTAGTATTAGTTGTGTAACGGATACAGTGTAATAACAATAGTAAGAATTATTATTATTTCTACTTTACTGTTATTACTATCACTAGAGCTAGTCTTGATTTTTGTCGTCGTGTAGCGGGTTTGAGTCAGGCAGTGACTTTCAGGTAACTCTGACATTACACACCCATTTATCTTCACTAATTTCTCCTTCTGCTTACTAATAGGCTATTCACAAGTCCTGTGTATGTAATGCCTGCTTACGCATAAACGAGTACACAGGCATACCTAAACATATACGCATTATGTGTCTGACTGACCGCTGACGGTGAACTTCGGAGCGTATAGCACGCTCTAGGATCTACAGACCATAAAAACCTAAATCAGCCACCTTAACTGCTTTGTTCCGTTAATAGTAATAATAACTCTACTGTATGTCTGCCGAACAGCTTTAAACAGGCACCGACTACATTCATCTACCACCTAGTTTCTTAATTTCGCCCAGTTCGCTACCCTTATAAGTAGGGTGAGTGTATGGGTGTGTACCCTCTATGACCAGAGTAGCATATGCGACATCATATAATCTGGTACTAAACCTATTAACCATTCTTAGAATTATCCTTCAGGTTTTGCCACTGCAGTGTTTATTACTCGTTGTTGTTGTTGTTGTATGAGTAGCGATAGCTATTGTAACACACTTATTGTTAACATTAGCAGCAGTAACTGCTATCGCAACCATCCAGTCTACGACAGCTTCTTATTTCTAGCCATGCGTACTATCGTATTGCATCTTGAGAAGAATGTCGTCCTTGGCAAGGATGCATTTTTTTCCATCTCAAAAGGGAAGGTTGGCATAGGTTAACGATCAATAACACGCTTTGCCCACTCTTTTTTTTAGCTTAGTCCCTCTTCACTTCGTCCCGTAACCCAATATTTCTGTATCTTCTAGCATGTTTTTCAAACGTCACATACAGATGACGCGGGCAAGCCCGATCAAACCGGGATGACGAAATAAGAGAAATCCATTTCCCATTATACATTACCCACATTATACATGGTAATAGCACAGAGCCCGTCACTATAGGAGCTAGTATTGGTTCGACGGCTGTGCACCACCCTGCCTGTTCGTTCTTAGTCCGATCAGTCAATGTACCCTTTAAGAACAGCGCTAAGTCAGGTCATTATGACGCTCAAATACAAATCGAAAGCGTTGCTTCTGTACAACTATCCACCAGTTCACTATTTATTCAACCTACACCCGTAACCCTGTTTTCACCGGCCAGTGCCAACAGTGATCCCTGGCACTAAGAGACAGCCAGCACATACCCATATCCCCACTTGACCCACTTTTAACGGGTATGCCTCCGCTTGAGCAAATATTATGTTTAATATTTTATTTAGTACATGAAGATAAAAGATTGCAGTGTGTTGCCTGCCAACCAGTAAAGCTTGAACCTAACTATCCACAAACCTGACTACGAAACGCCGTTTGGAGCTTCGTTTCCTCACTTAGTGTCTACTACGACGCTTTTTGGCCATCCAGGGATTGGCTTACATAGGCTACTTCTAATACACGCATTATAGGCCTTAGATCTAGGCCTCGGAAAACAAAATTATCATAATTATTATTATTATTATTATCTGAAAGACTCCAACAAATATTCATGTGTACGTGTGCATATACCTAATATAATCGTAGTAGTTACACAACCAAATGCTCTTTCGCAGATATTTGCATTTTCTCGTCGAGAAAAGTAAATTTAGGTAAACAGCAAAAAAGGTACACCCTTTTCTCTATAAAGGCTTACTGCTAACCGGACTTATCAGTGCTTTTGTCTGACCGAAACATGAGAGCCAACGAAAAGCCTAAAAATTAAGTGTTGCACTGGAATAATGTGAACTAGATTAAGCGTCTAGCCACCAGTGACAAAATGCTTTTGCGGCTAAACAATCATAAAATTAGTTAACCCCGTGAGCCAATACTGAATATAAATTTCGGCATAAGTTTAACAGTTTAGCGAAAAAGCCTTGGCGTGTGCTGCGACAGACATCACTTTTGACGGCCTTGGATGGGCTTATCTCCATCCGTGTATGCGTTCTCAACACTTATGCAAAGCAGTTGTCAACAAGTTATATTTTGCAAGACGACGTTCCTTATTCGATACGGTTATTAAATTTTGTGTTCCGGCTTTGGATCGCTACCACTGATCACTCTGTCATCCCTTTTCAGAGACCGTATACATTTGCTACTACATTATTAGGAGGTATATCATTTTTAGCTTTCTCTCGACTTCCACCCGCATCATGGTGGCCCTTAATCCCACATTAAGGTTATAACATCTGCGAGGGCGTACATGGAGAGCTAGCCTTTCAGTCTTAAATTTGTTGGCTTTTTGGCCTTCAAATTATCGATTGAAGAGGATCCTCGCATCGGCAGGTTCTTGCTTCGATCACTGCTTCTTGTTAGTGATCTTCGTCACAAATCTTTCCCACGCAGATGGATATACTCTGATGGGTCGGGCCGCCATGTGCAACCCGACCGGCAACTGTTGCTAGCTATCTGCTTTTCGATCCTCTTTCAGTTTGTCCTTGACCGAATGCAGCCAGAGGAAGGCTTTGCATTCCTCTTTGTAAATGTCGGGCACAAGTTCTGACGAGCTTTCACTCAGCTTGACCATCTTAACGGAGGGCTCGCAGGATATACGAATTTCTCGCTCAAATTCGATCAGTTGCCTAAAGAAGCCGTAGTTCGGATGCACGATCGAGCGACGCTCACGAACAAACTTGAAGGCCTCACGCAGGGTCATGTTGCGATACTTGACAAGGTAAGCAAGCACAATTGAGCAGCTGCGCGAGACTCCTGCCATGCAATGCACCACGACCTTGCCTCCTGTTCGAATCGTCTCGTGAATACAGTCAGCGGCCGGATGAAAGTACTTCTTCAAGTCCTGAGAGGGCTCGTCGACAGCCGCGAAACGCTTATACGTTATGCCCGGCACGCCGTCATCTATTACATCATTTGTCACGTTGACTACCATTGTGATACCAAACTTTTTCAGGTTGTCTGGAGTAAGGCCGCGCAACCCACAAAGGAACAAGTCCTCCGTGATCTGTGACATGGCAGTGAACACTGACATGTTGTTGTCCTTCGTCGACGTGTACACGCGGTTCGCTTACAACTGATAATGATGCTTTTCGATTCAATAGCTGCGGTTGAAAAACAGCACTCTGAGCAAAATTTAATATGCGTTTTCGTTTCTCAACACAACTCTAATTATTTTTGGACCTCTTCAATACCATTGTTGCGATTGTTTTTTTGTTGTAATTATTATTGTTGTTTTTGATATGTTCCCCCTTTGGCGTCTCGACATGAATATACGTCATCGGGTTACAGAGTATAATATATAGCTGCTGAAGCTCGAAAAAAGACTACAACTACGCTTGCTTATGGTTGCGTTAACAGCAGTAGAGGCAAGACCCTCAACTTCTCGGTCGACGACCAATTGTTGTTTATCGACTAGGGTTAAATAAAACCTCTTCTAGGCCAAACTTTTCTGTTCTAACTAATTGATAATGGCAGTAGACCTCCACTAAAAAGAAAGAGCCACTGGCAACTTATGCTTAAACTAGACCACAAACAGCCGCATACTGCGAAAGCGGACAAACATCGCGAAAATTTTTCACACGCACTGGCTTTTTATTGAAGCACAACTCACTGTGCACTCCCCACACACAGCGGCTAAAGAATCGCTCGATCGTCATTAACTTGATATTATCTGGTCATTATCATCATCATCATCATCCACTTCATGACGAACAACAACGGTAAGCTTCGTCGGATTAAGACTCATATAATACACATTTCGTGCATAGGCTCCGACGTGATACATGATACGAACTTTTATCTTCTATTTTCTGTAGTGTATAATTATCTGTTTCTGCTTAACTCATATTTATTTCTGTTCTCTACGCCTGCTGTTCTCTCATGTTTTTTTTTTCTATCTATACGGACATCATCCGCGCACCTTTGGGCACCTGGATGTTGACGAACACCTCGGCGACGGTCTGGAACCAGTAACCCCATCTTGTAGCACAATCGACGCGTCCTCCTCGTTCATCGAAGTGAGACAGGTTACTTGCCATTGCTTACGACTAACAGCTATCACACCGGCGGATTACACAAGTTTCAGTGATTGATCGATGGTAACAGATTGAGACCCGTCAGACCAACGACCAGACTGACAGACGACTACCAACGACTTCTGTGCTAACCAACTGCACGCCACAGACTCAACACGAACTCACACACATACACACAGCAAGGCACAGAATGCAACCGATCTTCGATCAAAGCTTCTGTGTTATAGGATCATACAAATGTGTGTAGCACTGTGGTAAAAACTTGTTGCAGCAGAATCGCTCGGAAACCTAACGCAGAAACCAGTGGGATTTTCAGCGGACTGCTGACGCTACTGCTGCTGAGTTTGTTACGTTAGGACAGTGCCGATAAAATGAATCGGTTCGACGTTTACGTTGTTGTTGCTACTCGATATTTAGTATAAAACAACATCACAGTGATAGACCGTAATCATTCCACAGGTCCCGCCTAGGGTCTACGACGGTACTTTTGAGCGAAGCTGTTAATAATCGTAGCGGCAGCAGCAGCAGGTAGCAGAAGCACCATAATTTTACCGGACACGAAACACTGACAGGCCGCGAATCTTCGCTCAGACAATTATCGTCGCACGTCGCTCGTTAATCTGCAAAATAAACGCAGCAATACATTTAGCAAATCGGGGGTTCGAAGGTGTAAACATATAATGAACAGATGGGCAAACTTTAATTTTTCAGTAGATTTATCTTCCAGTCTTCACTATTTGTTGTATTATCTTCACCGGAACACATTCTCGGTGCAGTAGTTTACGGATAAAACAAGCTCGTTGTGCGGTCTTGTTTGCCTGTATTGTAGCTAGAGGTGGTGGTGGTAACTGTAGTAAGAGCAGTTGTAGGGCAGTAGCTGTCGTTGTTGCCCCTGTAGTTGAGGCTTGCAAGTAATTCTGTGATGTTAACCTATAGAAGCTAATGGTCATGGAACCAATAGTAGAGGCCAAATCGAAAGGGCGGAAGGGACAGACGATACATGTATAGCACTTGGTACGCACACGCGTTATTTTTTACTGGGCAATTTGCTTAGTTGGGGCAAGTTGAACACCGCTACTGCTGCTGCTGCTGGATACGTAACAAGATTGTGGTTGGTTTATTGTATTTCTGTTTGTGTGTCTCTCGTTGTTCTTGGGTACCTGATTTGCGAGTTGCCCTTCTGTTACCTTACGATGTGTTGTCTGCTGTGGGAGCACGACACAATATGAGGCAGTAAAACAGAATAGTGGAGACTCGCTCCCCGCGGCACTCTTAGCTCGACTAAGCTCACGACGGGTGCCTTCGATGGAGGAGTTCGTAGAGCAGGAAGGGGGTTGTCTGGTGGTGATGGCAGCAGCAGCCGTTGCCTTTCAAAGAGGGGGGGGGGGGGGGACGACCGAGGACCCTCTCGCTGACGAAAGCCAACCTAACCCTCGCTATCAATCGCTCAATGTTAGAAGCTCTCAAGCAAAACTACATCCTAACCGGGATATTGCGCAGACCGATGCATGCGATGACATGAACAGACGAACAGAGCACTGAACAGATAAACTTACAGTTAGAGAGCCGATGTTGCGCTTTACTGGCCACTAGTCGTTCACTTCTGATGCCATTGAAACGGCAGTAGGTTGCGGGCAATTCGATCCTGGATTAGAGCACACGTATCACAGAAAGCTCACGTAAACTAAAAGTCCATCGGCTAACACTTACGTGAAACAGCCGCACTAACAGCTGAACATGTTTTCGTTGAAGCTTCAACAAGTCGTCGCTGAGGGCGCCACGAGTAATGCGCGGTTCGTCGTCCATTGACGTCACTCACTTGCATGCCCATAAAGAACAATATCTACTCTACCATAAAAGAACCGTAGAATGGTAGGGATGTGTGAATGGACGATGTCGCAACAGACCGCGCAAAATGAATTTGGCGCAAAGTTTTGGCATAGATTGTAATGTTTGATAATGTGACAAGGGCGTTTGTTAGGGTTAGCCTTTCCGATACATCAATAACCTGTTAATATTGACGGAATCACATCTGCGAACCGAATCCTAAGACGGCTATAGTTTACGACACTGTATCCTTGGAGCGCAGTAAGAGGGCTTGTTTGAACCAAATCAGCTGCTTACATTCAGTACTTCGACCGAATATATTCAGAGCTCTGGTTGCAATGGCTTTATTATTGCAGCTGTGATTTCTATTTGTTGAAAGCGACGTTAAATTATTGCTTGATTTGAATAAAGAAAATACGGTAAATAAATTGTTGCGTACAGATCGTTCCTTTAAGCGTAACGAAACAGCGCATGAATGTGACTGCTAGTACCAAATGCAGCGATGGGTAAGAAAAGAAGTTCAACTGTCACGTCCGAGGATTTGGGAAGCGGCAAGGTGCCACATCTCGATGATGACGAACGAGGGACCGGGAGTGGAAGTTCGTCGAAGAGCTTCAAAAAAGTGGCTTATGCCGCCAAGTGCGTCAAACCCGAGAGCAACAAACCCCGTATTATTAAAAACCTCAAACAAGTAAGAATATCTCAACGTCAATGCATGTCATATCTACTGGTAAATGCTTGTTTAATTGACAATCGGAAGTATCCCCTAAGAAAATATTTGTTAATCATGAAAAGCTTTTTGCTTTCGGTGTTACCGTTCTCCGACAGCAGACGTAAGCGCCTTACATAATGTATAGGCACGCCACCGTTTACCTTTTTGCAATTTGTATGATAAGTATAACAGTCTATCGACGCTTCTACACTTGTCTCTTGGGTAGTATGGTGTCCACGAAGACATCTTTGTAATGTGTTTAGGAGGTTTTCTTAGTGTTGCCGTCGGCCGATCAATTGACCCTGTTGTCTGTATGATTTTGTTGACGTAGTCTATCATATGCGTACGTGGATCGAGTCAACCTTTGGTAGAAGCTACTGACCTATTGGGTGTGTTTGTCAAATGTCACTGTATTTTATGATTTTGATCTTTCTTTTGTTGTAAGTTACACGTATATATGTATATACTCTTGAAGATTTTCAATTCAAAACATAGTTTATAAATATTTACATATATTAAACGAAAAGACAATTTGATGCGTCTTGGCAGACATATTGATTCTGTTTATTGAAAGTCCCAAACAATGTGTAAGAATTTTTAATACCTTTTTTCCGTTCTTGCCCTATGAATATTTATGCCTGATATAACTACCTCTTTACAAGACGTCACCAAAGCTTAAAGATTTTTATTGATAGTTGCACATTTATGAAAAATCAAAAAATGTACATTTTATGTGGTACTTGATTATCTAAAATTTGCTTGAAGAACCTCGTTCGAAACTCGTTTGAAGTGCATTTTTCCGCATAAGCGAAATAGATTAAATTCACAGTAAAATACCCTATTTAATGTTAGGAGAATGAATTACTATTTTCCTCATTCTGACGGGATCTATCGACTTGTACAAAGGAATACCACCTTAAAATAATACACCATGTTAAGTTTTTACCCTTTAAACGGCGCTTTTGACCCAGAAATTTAAACTCATGTACACTTTATTAATTGCACGTCGATTAGTATCGATAAATACTTCTTTAACCGTATATATAAAATTGCTGAAGTAATAAATTTGTGAAGAAATGACCGCATTGTGGAAAAACGGCGACATTTTATACTGAAATACCAAGTTTAGCTGTAAGAATATGCATTGCATTTTTACTATGCTTGTCGAAATCTATCACTTTATGAACAAACGTTTTCGATATTTTGAAAATTCGTTCAGAAAATTTCGAGGAGAGCATTTGGAAAATCATCATAGATTTGTTCGAAAAAGCACCCAAAAGCAGTGTTTTTTTACCTCTATTGGGATATAGTTGCAACGAAACCATTCACGGGTTTTTGGCTCCTTTCCACACCAATTTTGCGAAATACCAATATTACGTATAGGGACATATGTCACATTTTTAGTGAGTTCTTGAAATTTTCAATTAGTGCGAAGCAGTACCTTTCTAAAGTGTACCATGTTAAACTTAGACGACGATTTTAAGCTAAAAACCAAGATTTAGGTATATGATATTTCGATTCAGCTTTCCACAATTACTGATAAATATGTATTCTTTATATAATACATAATTTTATAATACTTTATACGTGTTCAAAAGCACGAATATATGGTTAACATCAGTCGCTATAACTTCCCGTGTAAAAAATCCAGAACGGAAAATTACCAAAAAAACAATTTTAACAACGAACGTTATTCTCAAACAGACAAACATAAGCAGAAAAATATACTAACAGAAACATACTACTAATTCAACGCAACGGAATTTAATGCTTTCATCCTAATATGTTCAACCTTTTGTAGCTCTACTATGCTCAATATGTCATAGGACGAATAGAATTCATAAAATTTAAGCACCTTTTTTGAACACAGTATTAAGTGATGAGAATTTGCCGCGTTGTTTTCTTAGTTTGCATTACTTGCTTAATATTTTATACTTTTTAGTTTTGACAACATCTCATTTGAATCAGATACTTTAGCCACACGGTTAGAACGAGTATCAGAGAAAAGCTGGTATGAACATTTGTTTAATGTTTTAGGTTTGCATCCCATCTCCAATTAATACCAAAACTGCTTAAAAATAACAGATAGAAATTGATGTAATCGAATTGTTAGGTAACAACTGCCGAGCGTTTGTATCCTAGTGGGGTAGCTTCATATGGATCCATCGAAATGCACAATACAACGAAACCTGCCAAAAAATACTCCGATATTAGTGGTAAATCTGTTTTAGTCAAATATTAATAACTTCCGATAGAATTGGTCTATAATATTACAGCGTATATATTATATGACTCATTGTCTGATACACAAATAAACAAAGACAAACTGTTCGGTGGCATAAAAGATGCATCTTGTCTTAGAAACATACTTTTCTGCAGAGATATTATCGGAGTATATAATTCTTATGTATGTTTTTTAAGGTCTACCGGCTAAATACACGGATCCGCATACGAAGTTGTATTATGCTGACGCGGAGGAATACGCCCGGATTCGATATTTAAACACAGATCAAATCGCTGGGTATCTATCACTGCGTCGAGCGAATATACCCACACCCTAAGGCCACAACATCTGCTCATGTCTTCGAACATTAAGTCAAATAGACTACGGACAGAATTCCCAAATTCTGCTGTAACTGTTTAAACAGATCTTGAATTCAAAAAAACTCTACATGGCATATTAGATGTACGTATTTCAAATTAGATTCCATTATCAATTATCACCGAAATATGATGATAAGGAACTGCCAGCTAAAAACAATCTTCATAGTTTTTCCTAGTTGTGTAGTTTCTGCTTTTCTCGCGCAGGCAAACGTTTCAATCTAGTAAAAACTGATATATGAAATACCCAGAATGTGATAATGTAACACAAAATCATTTCGTTGGTATAGAATATTGCAATAACCAAATTTTATTATTATTCTGTATATACCCTATGATATCCTACTTATATGTACAGTTTGTGTGCATCATGCGTAGAAGCTCAATAAATAGTTAATCAATCACTTCACTTATCATATTCTTTGCTTCACTTTCAATTACATCACAGCCAACTAGGATATCTAACATTACTTTTACTTTTCTATGTGCGTATGGTGTTACTAGGTATAAATTTCCTGTATCACTACAATATATACAAAAGCTTATCCACTTTAACGTCAATATCCCAATGGCTCGTACCTGTTGCCAAATACTCATTCTGTAAAAATGATCTTTTCGTGTCTTGAGAACCTGCCTTGAAGGCTTGTTGGCTTAATGCATGATCTGCTTTTTTGCTGTTTAGATCCCAATAAGCCGTTACTCGTTTCTTTGTTGCTTTCCATTGAGAATAGTTCTGGAGATTGCTTAAAAAGCAGTGCAACAAAACTTAGTCCCTTTCTCATATAAACAAGCCGATATGGGTCCGTACGCGAACGCCTCAGTCCGAGCATATAATGGAAAGTAAACCCAAGAATAACAATAGATGGAACGGATTGCAAAAATATAGCACGTAACCTTTCTCAACGAACAACAGACTTCCGTGACCAATATAATTTCTCTATTCTGCGCCTTCATTTGTCTGCATTTAGTTTTCCTTCAAGTTCTATGATTAGCTCCAAATTAGTGGTATCGTTATATATCTATATTAAAAGTAACAACAATGGTTCGAGTAATATCGCTTGCAATTAGGTGCCAAGTAAAATAAAGACGGAAGAGCGCGATTTATCCAACTAGATTTTCAAAAGATCTTCAAACGAGCCGTTCTTGGACGTTATCCTTAAAGTAATCTTTGCAGCGTTGAAAAATAGTCCTAGGTTGAACTAGAAGTTCAGCGGCTCGCTCGAACTTTTTGCCATTTCGACGCAGGTACATTTGGGCGTCGTGACGCAGTTTGTCCATCTTTTCTGGCCGAGTTTCATCCAGGGTGAACGGCTCGCTTAGGTACGGATTAAATCGGAAATAAGTTCCCGGTGGCAGAAGATCATTGCAAAGCGTGTGCACTGCCTGTGGATAACCGAAAACAAATTCGAGATCTATTATTATAATTACAAGTATATAATAATAAGAGTAATTATATAGTAACCAATAACCCTAGGTTTTTTTCTCTCCGATGGAGAACTGTAACGAGGTTAGTTGACTCCCATGATGGCTTCGAAGTCGTTCCGGTTATGCAACACGACATAATCAGTTCACGATTATTCAGTCGTTGTCTTGCAACGATGTTTACTACAACTTATTATGGCTACTAGAAATTGTGCAAACCCTCAATGGCCACATAGTACATTAATTCTTACCTCAGTATCGGTAGCAGAGTCAACGATTTTTACAATTTTTGTCTTCAGGGAGGTTGATCTAGCGCAGCTGCTGGGACTCTCTTCGGGAATGTACCGCCCAGAGCCGATGGACACAACACATTGAATCTTTTCGTCCGGCCAAAGAAGGCGTGATTCATGGATCGCCGCAGCTGTTTGGCAGTTATGCAGTTAGGAAATATACGCCAGCTATATATAATGGATAGGATACCAATCCAACTAAATAATTCAGCGACGACAGAGTTGAAAAACTTACCAGTAGGATTATTTTGTATAATTCCCCCATCCTGATGAACGTCTCCGTTATAATGAAACTCTTCGAAATAGAAAGGAGCCGAACTGCTAGCCCGAACAGCTTCCCAAACATGGGGGCTACAGCTGCCAGCATAGTAACTTTCATCCCGAGGCGGTAGTTGATAATTTCGGAACAGGAATGGCACCAACTGCTGCTTATTTACAATTGCCGATAAAATTCCGACTCGAGGCATATCTGAAAATTCAGTAAAGATAAGAAACTAAAATATTCGGAGAGTTTTGTCGGATCGAAAGCGACAAACGAATTATACGAATCTAAAAAACGCGGACTCATTATTTTTAGCGGGCTAGTTCAGCAAAGCTAATAAGGGGATTCGAGCTTCTCTATTCAGTATATTCAGAATAGCAAATCCTAATGAACTCACTCGCCTTGAATTCGACTTGAATGAATCATGGTCAGGTCACCATAAAGTTCTTGGAGTATTTGTTGCCACTGCATTGTGTCGTAATAGGCGTGGTTCCAAACAAGTTTTCCGGTGCCCCACCATGAACTTTGTTGGAACACCGTCGAACTCATGTTACGGTAGAGTCGGTGACATTCGTCCAAATCCTTTTGAAGAGCGGTCAATATTCCGACGAGGATGGCACCTATATGGTCACATGTATCACGATATTAGTTACATACTATTCGGTCGATGAGCATGTACGATTTTAATAAAAAATGTCTGAGTTGAGAATAAATCAGATTGAAGGGTTAAAAATAACTTACAGTTCCTTTTTTTGTCGAAGTCAAAGCACTGGCCGATAACTGATCGTACAAATATATTAATCTACCTAATTAATCTTTTAGGATTTAAATCTTGAGGGCACCTTTCATGGCATTATATCAAGTCGCAGGTAAATTTTTCGCTTTTAGATTTTCTTTAATTTCGACTTTACAAAATACCACAGTACCTTATAGAAAATTATAATATTAGTCCATCCTTCTAGAAACGCTTAAAATGGTATTAACAATTTTTATATGATATATATATATATATATATATGAACATACCGGTGGACACCCCTACGACGTAGTCGAATAGTTCTGAGATCTTTCTTCCGGTGCACTTTTCGAGTTGACGAAGCACTTCAATGACAAGCAAGCCGCGTACACCTCCGCCGTCGATACTCAAAATTCGTATTCCCGGCCCACGAGGTGGTTCCGCATAACCTAGCACACTTAGACATTGTCGTGTAAGCGCACGAACAGGTTCATCGCGCGTTTTCATTTTCACCTCCAGTAAAACTGATAGCGCCTTATCGTTGATAACTGTCGCGCGAGAATTCGGATAGCGCAGTAAATGCTCGGAGAACTCTTCTAACCTACAGAAAGGAATCGTAAGTGAAAATACGTCCCCTACCTGCCCTTGAAAGGTATCTATCTCTACGTGTGTTCCTACAGACCTTTGAGTCATCACCGACGGAAGATCAGCAAGCTGAATTGCACGAATTAGATGTCTCGATCGCGCATCAATGTCGTCCTGAGTTCTTAGAAGCAATTCGACCGGAATATTTCTTTTGGCTTCTTTGGTTGTAGTAGCAGAATCCGAAATAGCTGTAGAAACCGGTACAGAGGTTGTACCTTTTGTTCGTTCCTCAACATCGACTTCCGAATTTTCAGAAGCGCTTTGATCGACCTTCTCTACGTTATTTTTAGTTGCTTGAGCGCGGTCTTCTTTGAGAGCTCTTTCAAGAACGTCGTCCTTGATAACGTCGTGTCCAATCGTCTCCTCCGAGATCGCATCATCAAGAAGTGGACCTAGTACAGTCTGTCCCTTACCGCTATTGCCCCGCACATTTTCCTGATTTGCGTCATTCAACTGAACACCAAGTCGTGGCTCCAATTTGGAAACCTGATCTCTAGACAAGATCTGCATGTATCACCAATAACACAGACATTAAAAGAAGTAAAAAAAAACGTATAAGGGCCATTCATTTATACCACTTTTTTGCTTCTACTAACCTTTCTTCTCTGTAAACTTATTTAACTTGCGTGATCGAAGACTTGCTTAAAGTTATTACAATACTTTGAGGATCCTTTAAAACAGGTACAAAGCATACAAACCCAACATTTCTTACCCTTCGCCATTGATCGCTAGCGTTTTCAACTACCTGACTCCAGGCCTGCAACGCGCTCTCATAGAGCTTCCTCGGTATTTTTACCGTACTCATGGCTGCGCGTAACGGCACCGTGACCCCTGCATAGCCAGTTATGCTGCGTTGTAGCCGCTTTAGTCGAACAAAACGCATTGGGAAGCTCATTTTTGAAGAATTATATATGCTTTACTGACGGATCAAGACCACACATAACTCAATCCAATTTAACGCACGAATGACGATACCAGACACCAGGGAAGAACATTGATTTCGTGGTGCTCTTTCGTGCTATTTCCCTCATATGTAAGATATGATAAAATCGCAAACTGGAGCTGTTAATGCGAAATTAAGGAAATACTTTGTCAAAGTATAGAGTGCCTGTCTTAATTGCCCAGTATACTGATTTCGTTGCGATTAACGATCGCACTAATAGCGATTTCAGCTGTTATTACACTGGTATCGGTCAGTATAAATGCAGAGACACTATTCAATGTAAATGTTCTTGTTGTTAATTGCAGTTTAATTCTGAGTGGCCTACCTGGAAACAGAAACAAGCAAATAAATTTAGCTACGTTAGATGGAGAAATGTGCAGGTATTTAATTGAAGTAAGCATGTACAGTGTCTCTATCCAGAAACTAAGCGAGTTATTTGAAATCCATTATACCAATTCTTCAAGAGAAAAAAATATTGTATAGAAATGGCGTTGGTACGATAATAAACAATCAGGAGAGTAAAAAGAAAAGCGTCGCATTTTGAGATACAACCGTAAACGTTGAAGTACAGTGACCTGGAAGTCGGTACGAAGTATCCAAGCTTTATGCTCCACACAGACAGCACCCATAGAGCTTATTCTAAATATTGCTGCTTCAAAATAATTTCTAGCACATCAGAAAAAAACGACTTTTTTTTTTTTAAATTAATACATAAGCTACACGGAAACTATTGTAAAACTAATGAATCACCAAGAGTTCTGTTTTAGATTTGGAAGGTCACTCATTGACATAGTTATCTATCAATGTTGTTAATCTTGTTAAGCCCCGTATGGAACCCTCGACCGTTTCTAGCAGGAAAATCGCTCAACCTAGTTATTCTGTATCATTCACGCAAAATTCTCTGTTCACCAGAATCAGATGAGTTAAGTTACGACAAAATCGAAGTTACTCAAATGAAATAAAGCTCTATATTTCTAGAATATGAAAGGCACGTTATGTTTTCACTCATTACAGCAGGCCAACTTTTGACAGCATTTATGCTGCATCGCAGAAACTGAGAGCCAAAAACTAAAAGTATTTCCACTTTGACCGGGTTACCCAGTTTTCATTGTAGTCATAGCAGGCCGCCCAAGGTTTGGGGTAACGATGCACTGAGACCGGTGATAGGGAGGCAAACGAATAGAAGCCGACTCAACACACCATCTTTTCCTCCTCTACAGCATACGCTGCTATTATGCGGTATAGCACCACCAGCTTATAGAAGCAAGTACTGCGCGATAACTGAACGGTTGAGAGTTCAACCATTAGCAATATATCGTCGTCGTCGTCATCACGCTGTTGTTAGCATTGGAAAACGCTAATGCGGTTTCACGCAAAAAAATGTAAAGATTTGCTTAGTAAAGAGCTAATTAACTGTATGTATTTTAAGACCAAATTTTACATGTTTGTGACTCACAAATAGTTAGAGTTAAATTCCTAATTGAAATCCTAAATAAGTTATATCGACTTAAGCACTGTCTGACAATGTTAGTTACAATGTTAGTTGTGTTCTTGATAAAGTTATCAAGAAAAGCATCCACAGGGATACTCATCTGTTATGACAGTATACAGGATAGTGACATAGTTGGCCAACTATTCTTCTAGGTCTTCATCCATCCCATACCTGGTCATCAATATTAGATAACTGCGTGGGGAATAAACACCTTTCTCGAAGAAGTAATGAGCTTGTTAGAGTCCGTTCACAAAAAGCTGGCCCGCCAACAAGTCGAGATCGCTTTTTCCAACTGACTTTCTTGGATGATTCCTTTCGCTAGACGCATTAGATGTCAGCGTGTCCTTCAAGTCAAACTGTTAGACAGCTAACCAATAGCCCTGTTTAAAACTTAGGCTTATGTAAATCGTATCCGCGCGCAATAGCATCAGCAAGCGTTGTCTTCCTCGCTTAGCACTCACACTTCCGATACAAATTAGCAGTCTTTGAAAAAAGAATGAACAGGTAACAACTGACACGAGCACAACAAGTTTGATTACGACAAGCGCATCTTGAATTTTTCCGGAAGCCTCAATGTCAGTGATACTTGTCAGCTAGTCGTAAATAGTAGTTTCCTTTTGCATCAGTTTAAGAATACGAACCTTCTGACGGCCTAATGTTTCAGTCGCGGTAAATACACATTATCTTCGCTGCGCATTAACCGCTGCTATCAGCATGACCAGTCACTTCCAGTGCAGTATCACAATGGCAGGCCGATCGAAATCATAGTTTGTGGAAGGGGCTAAAACCGCAACGGCAACTGCATCATGGCCATTATTAGCATCATCACAATGTGACAGGATCGCTATGAAGCAACAAACAGTATAACCAGGGTTCGTTAGATAGGCGGATGGTTAACACTGCTACTACTATAATGCTACGAGTAGGACTAGCGCCGGCTGTGGGAAGGGCAATGCCAGTACCCGCAGTTGCAACAAAGTTGTTATTGTCAGCGAGAAATGACGCGCTGGCTGCCGCCGTGATTGACGGGGCCTCGTTTGCCACCATGGCAGCGTTAAGTCAAAGTCAATAAATACGAGATGTCCGGTAGGCGTTCACCATGAACCGTACGAGATTGCAACAAAAACAGCGCTCCGAAGAAGGTGCAGCGGTCCTTAGTTAATATGGGCACATTAAATGACGAATTTTACGGTAATATGCGATAAAATCCACACAACTCGACCTAGCGTTGGGATTATTCAAGCAATGCTTGGCGGGTATTTGAATACGCAAAAATCGCCGCAGTAGGTCCAATGACTTGATGCCCATGCTAGCTTAATGGTGAACCGTTTTATACTAAGCAGAAGCAATGCTTGTAGCTTAAGAATCAGTGCTGAGAAACCTGATCGAATGCAACAGACTGTTGTTATATATGAGCCATTCTTTCCTAGACAATTTATTTTATCACAAACCAGATCGCACGTCGTGCCTTATGTCTCACATGTTTCAATTGGTGCAAACTCTAAAATAACGAATCAAGGATATATTACTAATATAAGATATTAGCAGTAGTAACGGTGTGGTTTTTCTACTAACTACTCGTCTCCTATTTGGCTAGATTGCGATTATTTCTATACACAGAAGAACGGTTTCTGCAAAAACATCGGTAAAACATCCAACCTACCTGATTTACGTACGCTTAATTATAAAAATAAGTTTAAATTTAGAATTAAGTGCTAACATTTAAGCTTTGGTTTGAAAATTATCTCGATAGGACACTTTAGTAGCTTTTAAGTTCCTAGCTTTTAGTAGCTTTGAAAGAGCTGTAGTACTTTTCTAGCTATCTAAGAACTTAAATCAATGCTTTGATGAACATATTTCTTAAATTAGTTCTAACTTGAGTGCAACTTGATTTGTTCCTAGCGTGTTGGTTATCGACTTCAAGCCAGTCATTTTATTAAACCCATTCACAGTGCGAGGTATCATCAACCATACCGAATATATCTATAAAACTTGTTAAAGAACTATGATCAAATATACTTATATATAAGTATATACATATATATATATGCATACATATATACATATACATATATATATGTAAGTAAATGCAGGGGTTTTCCCGGTACGAGCGGTGATCATTACGAAGCAAAGTTAATGCGTTTTGCGCACTTGCCGTACACATCAAAATGACACAATACACACAAGGGCTTTCCTAGTCGTGCAGATGTCGTAGTTTCTACGTCACAAGGTCAAGCAAAGGAAGACAACATTAGCTATTACCGGTAACAGTAATAGCAGAAGCATAAATCCACCGCGTACTCAGCCATAACATCGTCTCAGCTAAGAACGATACTAGACAGACAGACAGATCCGGGAGCGCTTGGTCCTTGTAGCAGGGCGCGAGAGCATTAGACTTAAATTGAACCGAACCAGTTGTTGAAAAAAACGCTAGAGTTTTTTTCGACAACTGGTTCGACGAGAACATCGCTGTCGTTTCCGCGTACAGTTTACAGATAATCTCTCACACGATTATGGGCGGACTATAGGGCGGACACAGTCAGAGATGGTAGAACCCTTAAGCGTACAATTCAGCATATATTTGCACAAGTGCAAATACTTCTAACGTATATCATTTTCAATTACACTCGCTGATAACTGAACACCTTGTTATGGCAAAATCGTTTTGAAAATGTGGTGCCCGAACGTTTCGGCGGTGGCCTTAGCGGTGAATACGAAAGCGGCCACAAATATTACGTTTAGTAGAGCTTTGATAGCTTCAGGAGGACAAAAGAAGCATCGCGCCAGTAGGCAGTTTTTTGCTAAAGCTACGCATTAGTGCAGATAATTTAATGAAAATAAGAGGAAATAAATATGCGTAACATTTTATCAAATCATTGCGATCATAAGACTCGAGTTCGCAGCTTAGTGGAACGCTGATAACAACTAAAATTAATTACCGTAAAAACTTTCTTGAGATTTACATGGGTTAGCCCTGCCGCAAACGGCAAACGCGTCTGATGATGGTTCAAGTTAGCGACTCTGACTTTTTCAAACAAGCACACAAATTACAAATACTGTATCTACGACGTTATTATCGATGACGTATAAAATAAGCTCTCTGCGATCATGTTTTCGTTTCGTCACCCCATATGTATGCTCTAAGTGCTGCAACGATGTGAGCAACCAAATATTTCAAGTTTATTACTACGTAACCTCTCGACGTCATCTTCCTATACCGAGTTTTTATAATAGGTTATCAGCAGGGTAGCAAGCACAAGTTCCACAGAGTAAATACGACGTAGTTGATATCCAGCAAATGATTTTCTTTATATCCTCCGCTTTGCACCATGCAATCAGTGTTACAGCAGTAACCGACAAACGAACACTAGCATTTTCTATTCTGCATTTCACTAGTAGCACCGATGCTATTGCTTCTCTACTATATACACAAAACATCTTGGGGTACTTTTACTTAGCTGGCTCTACCAAACGAAAATACAAACTTTACCAAACGAGTTTTATGTAAGATTATAACTTGATTAGTTACTGAAATCTTTCCATCGTTTGTTTTTTTTCTTATTCAGCTGAACGCGCTACTCGATGCGTTCGGTGTACTGATAGCCCGGGCTCGTCGTCTGTAGACTTTTTGGGTATGCATCTATCCAGTGGCTCAAGAAAAACAACAATAAGCATAGCATTGACTGAACGAATCTGGTTCTCTCTTCCCATTGCTGCCGGGTGTTACTCGTTAAAGGATAATTTTGATTTGTCGCTTTTATTAGAGAATGAAAGTCGATTCTAATGTTATACAATCCTCGACCGCCCACGTCTAATCCTGTTGGAAAATGCTGAAGAATTTAGTGCCTTGTACTCCGCTTTTTAAATGCCGTCATTTGGTCTGCACACCGCTGCGGTTCAATATTTTGCTCTAGCTAGAGGCGGTCATGGTGGAGGTGCTGAGACATCGCTCAGGTCTCCCAGCATAGACGAATATGCGTTTCGCCTTTTACTAAACGCATCCGTGCTGGGGGACACTTACAATGAGCCTAAATGGCAATTTTTGTAGCCCCTTTATGGGGCTCCCCTATACGATCCAAAAATATAGTCACTTGATGAAGTCGTAGTGACGACTAGCATAGATGTTATGCAGATAATGCTGCCTTCCTAAGAGAGGACCGGTGTTCACAACATACACTGGCTCTTAAAGTAAAAGGCTGGTGAGCACCCGGCGGCAGAATTCTGACCTTTTTAGTACTTAGTAATGTTATTTATTATTATTATCATCCTTGTTCAAATCAACCTATGGAAGTTTTAAAGTTAACGCCTGAGAAAACAAGCAATCCATAATATTAAACGCATAACACTATGATTTCCAAGCACTCTTTTTGTCGTTAACCCTATCATAGGCGGTATTAAAAACTAATTTTACAAAATAGTTAACTACCAAAAATATACCGGATGCACTGAATGAAATCGCTTTTGATTTCGCGAGATCTTTTGTCAAGATCTGTCGTGAATCCACTTACCAATCCTCTTGTTGCTACTCTAGGAAGATCTGTATCCTATTCTGAACCCCCCCGGGAACTATAGGTGAATGATTGTTGTAACAGGTATGTTTCTATTGCCTTCAATGGCACACTCCGGCAAAGTTGGTATTAGATTGACGTTATAGATCAAGAAGTTCAGACAGGATTCGCTACCGGTAATCGGCTGTTCAAACGTAGGCTCAGATGGTGCTCTCATCCAATTCTAATCCCTGTCAGTGGTTGCGAAGGGAACAGTGCTGCGAAATATACAATCTTGTTTACTCACTGCGTTAGCTTCTCATCGCTTTGTGCACTGAACAGAAACTCCGAACCGTCCGACGGCGTCAGACGGAAGATGTGCTCGCACTCCATGGAATCTTAATAACATGTGTCTGAATAAACATTTTGAAGAGGTGTGAGGACGGTTTTGAATAGGCGACAATAAACTGTCGTAAGAAACTCTCGATATACGATACAAATTTATCACCACGCCTTAGTTATTTCATGCAGTTAAGACTGCACAGCAAGCAAACAAGACCGTATGTATGAAGATATCTATAATGCGATTATATACATTTGAACACAAGATCTTTCAGTTTTTATGCTGCAAGTATCCATCGCATTCGCGAATCATCTGCGCATCCTCAGATGAGCTCAACTGCAAGCAAGTTTAACACGCACGTTGCATAAGTTAATAGGAAGAATGTTGGCATCAGCCTTAGCGCCATAAAGAAAGCCAACATAAACTGACACAGGACGGCGTAGTGTTTTTTTAGCTACGTACAGGGGTGCGCTTGCCACCGACCTGCAGTTCGTGCTTGCGATCTAATAATCCCTCGATAGTTCGGCAGCGCGCTCTGAAATGGTTGAGATTCGGCGACGGGTACTAAAATTTGGTGCGCGGAGCACTACGCTGTAGTTCTTTGTCTATCGGGGGCCTCACGGTTTCGACACGACACAGGTCAGTCCTGCCTTCGCCCTCTATACTTCATTGCGACTAGTCCTGCTGATATAATATGCATATCCGAATTATAAGAATTTATATATTAAGAATTTATTGTTTTCGATTTTCATATTCGGCTATGGTATTACATATAGTGGTCTGATATACAGAGATATGATTTAAATCGTATTACAATTGTGAACTTTATTTAAGCTTTAATCGCACACATGTTAGCTTCAAATTGCGTCTCGGTGCGTATTGAGAGCAGCCATAGGACGCTTACAGTCACTAACACAACTAATGACAGTTATCCCCGTGAGTGGAGAACCTCTGCTTATGTTGCGGTTTTTGAACGTTATCAGGTCAGTGAGAAGAGCAATCCCATGTTAATGATCACTGTGTTAGTGAAGCTCAAATAGATGACAGAGTCAGCCTACGACGGTCCCCGAGCACAGTTATCCTCGTTTTTTCTTTTGAACTAACCAGTTACAGAATTAGATAGGCAACCTAAAATTATGCAATTCAATCCGAGAGGGAGTTTCTTATTTGATTTGTTAGCAATGTTGCATTATAGAAAATAAGCGGCGCGTTAGCTGTACGCGGGATTATGATATGTGTAAGAACCGTGCTGGCATTAATAAGTCTGTAACTAAATAAATATACTGTAAATAAAGAGTGCAACTGTGATGGATGATGATTTGTCGGACAACCATGACAACTTTATTAAAATCAAACATGTTGCTCAATGTCTTATATATTTTATTTATTCTAACCTATTTTTTAATAGTCCAAGTTTTGTACAAGAGGCTATGTTCCAGAGAGAGGATATAACAATAATAGTGCTGAAACCTTTATTGTCTATGTTGCTTCTGCTACAGGGTGCGTGAGGTGAGGTTCACGCCAGACGCTTACCGCGTCTGTTCGGCATAATTTTCTGTAATTTTGAAAGCTGAATAATTATCTTGGATCAGAGACTTTCAGAGTAGTGAGGTTAAACCTGCCTGATGAAATGATCCTGCTCTCCTTACAATCACCATAACCCACAGAAAAAAGTGATTAAATTCGAAGTAAAAAGGCTAATGGTAATGTAAATTTCTCACTAGAACCTTATTAGATTAATGCACTGGAAAGGCAATCGCTAAGAAATCTGTATACTGCACATCACTTTTTCAAAAATCAAAAGTGTGCTCCGCGCATAGGACATTCAGGAATACAAACAGTCTCGTATCGTTCTTATACAAACACTCATACCTTTTGATTGGATCGTCACTGGCATATGTTTGGAAAACTTCAACTTCATATAGGCCAATACTAGTTGTTGCAATTAAGCAACTTAAACCTCTGATTTAGCAACCAAAAGAATAACTGAATAACTATATACCGACTTTTTTCAAAGGGAATGTATAATGAACAACGGCCGCACAAGATCTGGACGAAACCGACTAACATCACATCCTCTAAGTGTGGACAATGCAGCTTTTTCGGCTAAATGAACATTTACTCATCATTTCTATACTACTAGCCCACCTCAGCTGCACTTGCTGCAAAAGTCTTATAGAGATCATTACAGGAAGTTCCGACGTTAAGTTTCATCATCATTAGTCAGCCGTTGACTCGCGATTTGAAAAGCTTGTGCCAAAACAATGAGACTCAAAAACATTGTTACGTTTACATTCCTACGCGGCTTAACGTTGCACCTCATAAAATTGTAACCCATGTATATTTTATTCAAGCATTTAACTATAACTCATTTAGATTATTTGTCATTGCCTAAGGACCTTTCTTTTCGACCAAACCATAACGAGTTAGTTTCAATAAAATTTTGCTGTAACTAGGGCATGTAGAGTAGTTTAAAGAAGCATAAAAGTTCTATTCTGGTATTTTTGGCTACAATTCGGACCAGGCACTCATAAAGCACAATGCCAAGACTTACAATACGCAATCGTTCCTTGTGAATTAGTCGTTTACACTTCGCAAACCCGTAGTTTATGCATAATATAAGTGTCACACTTACGAAATATTATCCAATTGACTCAAGTTGGTCAAAGGTCGCGTCGCAAAGTCGCAATGCGTAGAATTGGGCGTACAGAAAGTGTTTCCATTGTTTGTAAACTCTAAATGTTGCACACACTTTTTACTGTGGCCGCAATACGAAGAATATAGGCCCTGTGTATACTAAAATAACATTCCGTTGCTCTTCTGTTATTGCAGCAAAAAAAATCAAGTTAATTTTATTTTACTTCTACACTTTAAGGTACAGATCAGACGATATATATATTGTAATAACACGGTCCAAGAATAATATATATATATATATATATGTGTGTAGACTTTTCTAAGTCTACACACATATATATATATATATAT